GCATCAATAAAGCATTCATTGTGTTTTACATCGATCAAAATAAGTTCCTTTCTTGACAAAGTATGCATGGCTTGCTTCTTCCGGGTGTTTTTGGACGGTGTTTTGTTACTGCCACTTCGAGAGAGACGTCTGCTCTTTTGTTTCAAAGTATATAGATCGTATTTAGAAAGATACGTTTACACGGTAAACAGCTGTTTATTTCGAGTTCTTTATTTGTGATTGGTTACTAGAATCGATTGAGAGCAACAGTTTGATAGTACGACATATCCTTTCAGTAGGAATAAATAGTGAACCATAGACTGTTATGTAATTCTTTTGTATTCTTGATTAAATTCATTTTAATACAGGGTATTAAATTTTGACATTTTTCGTTGGAAAAAACCACTAGCTTTTGTTTGTATTCTGGTTGTGCCGACTGTTACTGACGTGTTTATTTCCTGGTGCATATGACGTTTCAAGAATCGATATACGTTATTATTATTTAAACAAAGGGTTTCTTTCTTAAAATTAAATTCATTTTAAAACTGACGTCATACCACTCAAAGTCAATATAAAGTATACGTCTCAGATGTCTGAGAATAGCCTATATTTGTATGAATAATTTTAGACATTGAAAAAACAGTTACATGTAACATTTTACGTGTCAATAATTCAAAACGGGATTTAGTAATTGTTTATTTGCATGAGACATGATTATCAACGTTAGAATTTGTGTCTACGTTTCATCGCTATCACCTAATTTTAAGTATGACCTTGGTAAGTTTTGGTCTTGGTTTTATCTTGCTTAACGTCCTATCAACAGCTTAGTTCATTTAAAAACGTGCCTCCGTTTATGTTTTGTATGCGTGCATGTGCTAATGTGAACCGGAGACAGGATGTGTTGGTGCATTTGCCTTCTTGTGATAGCGCAGACTTCATAGTGCTATCTCGCTGAAATGCCATGCCGCATGTACCCAGCACAGCACTCCGCCCGGTCATGTTATTCTGACAACGGTTGAACTAGTGTTTGCCATTTCCCTAAATACTGAACGTTAAGCAGGGAATCACAACTACTTTTTTAAGGGGTTTGGTATGTCCCGACCTGAGGACAGAACACATTGCCTTCCACACCTTGGCGAATGTTCAACATTAAAGCCAAAAGTGAGGTGTTTGCCAGGCAAGGCAATAGGAAATATAACAGTAGTTAGAAGAAGAGAGAAACATAAAGATTCTAAATATCGTAATTGGTGTAGCAGATTTATTATGGTCGCTTTTATATCCGTAAGTAGAGAGCAAAAAATCGTATCCCCAATTCTGTAGGGGTTTCCCCACATTAGTCGCCTCTTACGATACATGTAGTGGGTAACGTCAGGTGTTTTCCTTTCCGAATCCCCGATCTGCATGGGTGATCTTGATGCATGTAATTGTGTGGTATAAACATGTAAGAAATAAGGGACATCCCACAAACCCCATTTAGCGTATTTTGGGTGCATTCATGAAAAAATCTAATGTTGAGTACGTAAAAATACCTTCATTCGAGGATAGTTATGTATTTTCCATGACGATATGGAAGGTTTGTTTCCCAATTGGCACAAGTGGGGGTCATATTTAAATATGTACACACTCTTAGATATATTTATTATTACTGGAGTTCACAACAACTCACAACATATTGAACTAAAAACAAAATGCATTTACTGTGATCGTAGTACAAAGCATACCAACTGTATCGCATTTGAACATGTATATGTTAACATGATGTGAAGCTATTAACAAACAAGTAGTTGGCATGGACAATCTTCGAAATCGTGAAGAGCACGACCTGTCAATAATGACAAACAGAATAAATCAACATTTGTAAACTAAAGGTCAGCACGGACTGAATCCATCTATTTTCGAAGATAAAAATACACAGACATTCTATTTCTTGGTACACAAACAATGTTCCAATAAGCGATGTAACGAAATTGTGAATTTTTGGTAGTTGGTCATACAGATGACTTAGGCTGGTGCACTCACACAGCTCATTCTGCTATTGTTAGGAGTTTTCCTGGTTTCGACTGCTTCTTTATTTTTTTCTCATTATATGTATAGTGTTCCCTTTCACCTATTGTGTAACTGTCCCAATCGACGATATGATATTGTTCCTTTCTAGTACTAGTTGACGGATGTTTTGTGAGTGTTTCCGGTAAAATTGGTGTTGCTCATGTTCCCTTCTATCGTCCTTTTGATGTGTTTTTAGTTCCAAATATCACAGTTTCTCCTACATATCATTGCTGACAATTCTTGCAAGAAATTTGGTATACGATTCTTGTTTCTTTCTATAAAGTCCGTCTTGTATTTTGGGTGCACGAGTAACTGTCCAAGTGTTATCAATCAGGGGCGTAGCGTCCATAGAATACAAACAAATCCGGGCTTACCGTGTGTGCCATTTGTCAAAAAAGTAGCCGCTGAAACAAACAAAAAAATGACATCATGTTACTAAAAACCCGGTATATGCAAATATTGCTGAAGTCCATCCGCAGGTCCAAACATCACACAGCAAAGCACTTGCTTGGACCCTCATGGTATTTAGACTGGTTAGATAGAAAACAAACTTCTGGTTATAGCATGACTGAAAAAATAGGGTAGATCAGTCGGGATTTATATACTTATAACTTATAGAACTTTAATTATATATTTTTCTGCTTCTTTTTTGAGGGAGTGGGACTAATTCATTTGATTTTATGAGCTGCTTTTATTAACGTACTCAAAAGGCGTCTGATAAGCAATGTCTAAAATCATAATTAGAAAAGAAATTTATTATATATATAACTATAGTTCAGCGGAAGTCGGTTTTACTTTACATTTTTTACTGAATAGTTACAAGATAAACCAAGACCGTCTTTCCTCGCTAGCAATGCTGCATGTTCACAGAGAAATTCCTATTTAGACATTTCTAGCTGTAAGCTGTAAATTGCATGTTGGCTGGGCAACGTGTAGTATGAAATAAATATTATAACGAACATAAGTTATGTGATGTTCTTCATTTCAGCGCATTTGACACAAAAAAATGTCTTTAAATATCTGTCTCGGATAACAATTTGAATGCTTCGTCAAATCTTAAAACTCACTTTCCGTCGGGGGGCTTCGACCGATATATAAAATAAATGTCGATAAAACGTCAGAATAATTCGGACTACGATGGGCCTAGCTACGCCCCTGTTAATGGCCTCTTCGGGGTGCTGAAATGGTGTTTCCTCATCACCCGGGTTAACGCCCCAGACATTCCTTTCATGTAGGGGTATTGTGAACTAGTCTTTGCATTTGGTTTGGTTCTAATCTTTTTTCTTTTGTCCCTGTTTCTTGTTTTCTGCCTATTCGTGTATAACACTTTTGAATTTGTCAATGGACCAGTGTGTCTTTTAAGTGCTGTTCCTTTCTGGGTCTATTGCCCTGCTCTGTGATGATGTTGTTGCATCTGTCAAGGAGTGTTAGTGCGATTCTAAGCTTTTGGTGTTTAGTTTTGGTTTTTATTTTGTTTGAAGTCCTTTTAACAGCTAATGTCATATAAGGACGTGCCTCCATATGTGTTGTGTATGCAATCTTGTTTGCTGTGTGCTGGAGGCATGGTGTGTTGGTGTGTTTGCCTCCTTATGGAAGTGCGGATCCGATGCCGGCTTTAGAGTGCTACCTCACTGTAATAAAATGCCGAAGGCACCAAGCACAGTATTCCGCCCGGTCACATTATACTGACAACGGGTGAACCAGTTGTTGCCTTTGCCCCAAACGCTGAACGTTAAGCTGGGAATAACAGCTACATTTTTAAGAACTTTGGTATGTCCCGGCTTAGGGACAGAATCCATTGCCTTCCTCACCTGGGCGAACGTTCAACATTAAAGCCAAAAGTGAGGTGTTGCTAAGCAATGCGCTAGGAAATAATATGTAGTTAGAAGTAGAGGGAAATATAAAGATCCCAGATATTGCAATGGGTGCAGCAGATTCATATTGGTCGTTAAAGCAAGTCCCCAATCATGCAGGGGGATCACCCATTAGTCGCCTCTTACGATCACCTTTCTCAATCCCCGACCTGCAGGGGTGTATCGTAGACTGGGTCTATACATGGCCCTGTAGTGAGGTAATGCAGACTACACAGACTAAAATTCTGCAAGAGTACGTTGTCTATACGTAATAGCGTATTATATATTAACGACGGTATGAGGTTACGTTATTCACCTTGATACTGTAGGCGTATTTGCACGACGTCATTAACCTCACATCTTGCTGTATGTAGGAGATCTGTCCGGAGACATTGGATTATGTTGCCAAGAAAAAAAACACACATTTTATTCGTTTAAATTTCCTAAAGTTGTAAAACAGCATTTTTATTGACCGAATAAACGGATGGCACGTCAAACTTACGTATTTTTTCTTGTCTGTGTGTGTATTAACCTTACTATATGCCTGATTTTTCTGCATATTGTCTTATATATCCTGTTTTTATACCTTTGTTTGTCGTAAAAATAGCTCTACAGAGCTAATGTTTCCGTTACAACATATACGACTCTAAATTTAAAAAAATGTATCTTGTATTTACTATATACACAAGAACAACACACCAAAAGCTACTTAAACTTTTATTAAAATACTAATTTCAGAAAGAATCACATAACATAGAAGGGGACCCGAACTTGTAGTGCAACCGTTGACCAATGACTCGGAAAGTCCCTCTTTTTCCTTTTTTATACTTCCGTTCAGACATATTAGTACAGTAGTCTACCTGCAATATTTTAATTTGTAAGTTACAAGTACCTATTGTTTTCAATAATTCAAACATCTGTCATAATCGCTACATTTTAAATTCTTCCCTAATTTTACGTTGAAAGTACAAACACTGACTACTGATTTGCCAATTTTAATTAGTTGCGTGATTCCTGTAACGAGATTCCGGATATTTTCTCCGCTTCCATTTCATCATTAGATAATTTAGTTTTAGAGTATGTTGGAGTAAGCTCCCCTCAATCATGTCGGAAGGTCTGAGGTCAACTCGATTTGCGCTCTTCTCAGAAGGGAAGTCTACACGATAGGTTGCCTTCTAAGGGAAGTAAATCGAGTTCGCTGGAAGATCTTCTTCAAAATAACATGGAGGATATCGTCGTGACCCTTGGCATGGTTGGGACTCTGTTTGGAGACTTTGAAGAACCATTAGCTACAGACGTCAATGATGGCGATAATGCCGAACTGATAGCTATAACAGCAGTATGCGCTGCTGTGTAAGTAACGTACATGTATAACACGGTTAAAGAGCCATTATTTAATCATGTATGTATATTGACGCCGTGGGCTTTGAATAATAGTCTTATTTATTTCATAACGATATTTAGGCCTAATTCTTACATAATTTGTGACAAATAATTTTATAACATGTGAAAATGAATGTAAATAATCATGTCTTGTCTGAATAAATTATTATTATTATATAAATCAAAGATTTTGTAATGCCACTGTAAAGAAAAGAATTGATTATGGCAAGTACGAAATATTTCTTTAATATTAATTCAAGACAACCATGACAAAAATGTATTGAGTTAATTGGCTTAATCTGTATACATTAAAGTTATCATTACAAAAAATATAAATTCGTGGCTGTCTCTTTTATTTCTGCATTTAACTTTGTTTCTTACAGAAACCGAGACGACAGGAAAAAAGTTGAAAAATATGTCCAGGATGTGGTGCATAATTATCTACCTGATGACTTCAAAAGATGTTTTAGACTCTCTCAAGAAACATTTGAGATACTTCTTCATCATTTAGCAACTATACCTGAACTTGCACGACGACAAACTAAAGCTGGTAGACCACAAATTTCACTTGAAAGAGAATTACTTATGACCCTCTGGTTTTTAGGGACTCAGGAAACTGTAAAATCAATATGTGATAGGTTTGATGTGCAAGAGTCTACTTTTATATGACACAACAGGAGACTTTTAGATGTTTTTTGTAAATATCTGTGCAAGAAGTTTGTCAAGTGGCCTAATGACATTGAAAAACAAGAAGTGATAAGAGCCTTTGAAAGTGTGAAGGGATTTCCTGGTACAATTGGTGCAGTAGATGGAACCCATATTCCAATGACCCCACCAAGTGATAACGAACCAGATTATGCAAACCACAAAAACTTTCATTCCATCATATTACAAGCTGTGTGCAAGAATGACCGTGCGTTCACAGATATTTACTGTGGCTGGCCAGGACGAGTCAATGATGCCCGTGTATTCCGAAATTCCCATTTGAGTGAAATTTTCCTGCTTTAGTTGGACAGAATCATATAATTGGTGATGGTGCATATCCCCTTTCGAGATTTTTAATGAAGCCATACAGAGACACAGACCATTTAACAAATGCTGAAAAACTTTTCAACAAATCATTGTGTAGTACTCGAACTGTCATCGAGCATGCATTTGGCATGCTGAAAGGGCGAATTCGTAGACTTCAACACATAAACTTGCATAGCATTGAATATATAGTAAAAACTGTTGTAACATCCTGCATTTTGCACAATATCTGTATCTTAAATGAAGATGAACTTGATGATAGTATTGACGCAGCAGTTGAAGATGATATTATTTGCATAAATATCCCTGCAGATGAGGCTGAAGGGACATTGAAACGCATGCTACTTACTCGTCAGTTAATGAATACTAGGTGATATCATCATGATGTAATAAATCATTGGCAGTTAGTTAACTTGTAAAAGATGCGTAGAGTAAAACATGGAAGCTTCATCTATGAATTACAGTGAGTTAATATGAAGACTTCTTTCAGGATACAATTAAGACAAAAAAACAATGAGTTATCACAAATGAATTTTAATTATTTTGGAACAAGAATGTAAAAATAACATGTAAAAAAATGGTATCAATGAAATAAAATAATTTGAAGCTATATATTTGACTAGAGGTTACTATCTGTAACGTTAACATCATAAGAAACGAATGAATCTCTAAGATTTAACATTTTAAACACACACGCACACACACAAAATAAAATGAAGTATATATTTGTATTATTGCATTTTATACACACAATTTTGTGTACTCTTACACTGTAAGGGTTTATAGTTTTCCACAAACTCTTTGAATTATTAAGGTGATCATCAGGTCAGTCCATTTTGATCATCTACCTACTGTTAATTCATGTAAAAGAAACTAAAAAATTGTCACAAGATCATATAAGAAATCCACTTCTAAGTTCTAACTGCACCTTTTCCATACACATGAAATAGGAAGTCCTGTTAATGTTCCATCACTGTCTGTGTCATCATCATCAACCATCACTGTTGCTACATCTGAAGAATCCTGGCTGAAGTCTGAAATGCGAAATCAGAGTAAATGGAGGATCTTTAATTACATGTGTGAATATAATATATATGTTATGAAATTTGTTAAATGAACATGATTTCAATTAATTGAGGCGAGCTAGTAGTGACTATCAAATTATTTAACAAGTTTTATAACTTTCCTATCATAAAGTAAAAAAAATCTGTTTATCACATAACTCAGTTTTATGAAGATATCAGTCAAAATTTCAAAATTTCTTTCTATATGAGCCAGGAATTTCAAATTTTTTTTCAGACAAATGCGCCACATCATATATTTTATGACTTCATAAAGTATTTGTGACGTCACAATAGTTTTTTTATAGATGTGTCGTACAATATTTATAATTTGTAATTAATAATTAATTCCAATTAGTGTAATACCCATTTCAGAGAAGAACAAAAGACCATTATAAACAGTGAGTCAATATTAACTAGCTAGTACCATTAGTTTGTTCAGTTCTTTTTGTCGGACGACTTCGCAAAACTATGTAAAGCTGCTGTTAGTCCTTGCATCATTTTAATTTGTTCATTGTGTCTTTCATCTGCCCTTTTCTGTGCATCATCAGTCTTTTTCTTAGCATCTTCATCTCTTTTTTTCTAATCTATCGGTGAACCTTCCAAGGAATTCAATCATTTGAGTTGCACCAGATGTTCATTTCTTTTTAGACTGTTTTTTACAACCCTTCTTTTTCCTTTTACCTTCATCACTTCCTTGTAATATGTCATCACCTTAGTCATGGCCATCGCTGTCCGATGAGATGTTTCTGGGACCAGCCAATTCTGCACTAGTACTGGGACCAGTCAATACTGCACTAGTACTGGGACCAGCCAATTCTGCACTAGTACTGGGACCAGTAAATACTGCACTAGTACTGGGACCAGCCAATTCTGCATTAGTACTGGGACCAGCCAATTCTGCACTAGTCCTGGGACCAGCCAATTCTGCACTAGTACGGGGCCCAGCCAATTCTGCACTAGTACTGGGCCCAGTCAATACTGCACTAGTCCTGGGACCAGCCAATTCTGCACTAGTACTGGAACCAGTCAATTCTGCACTAGTACTGGGACCAGCCAATACTGCACTAGTACTGGTACCAGCCAATTCTGCGCTAGTACTGGGACCAGTCAATTCTGCACTAGTACTGGGACCAGTCAATTCTGCATTAGTACTGGGACCAGCCAATTCTGCACTAGTACTGGGACCAGCCAATTATGCACTAGTACTGGGACCAGCCAATACTGCACTAGTACTGGTACCAGCCAATTCTGCACTAGTACTGGGACCAGCCAATTCTGCACAAGTACTGGGACCAGTCAATTCTGCACTAGTACTGGGACCAGCCAATTCTGCACTAGTACTGGGACCAGCCAATTCTGCACTAGTACTGGGACCAGCCAATTCTGCACTAGTACTGGGACCAGCCAATTCTGCACTAGTACTGGGACCAGCCAATTCTGCACTAGTACTGGGACCAGCCAATTCTGCACTAGTACTGGGACCAGCCAATTCTGCACTAGTACTGGGACCAGCCAATTCTGCACTAGTACTGGGACCAGCCAATTCTGCACTAGTACTGGGACCAGCCAATTCTGCACTAGTACTGGGACCAGCCAATTCTGCTCTAGTACTGGGACCAGCCAATTCTGCTCTAGTACTGGGACCAGCCAATTCTGCACTAGTACTGGGACCAGCCAATTCTGCACTTCCAAAAACAAACTTTGGGGTAGTTGAATGAGAGTCACCCATTATTTCATCCATTTCTGTTCTAAATTGAAAGTCTTTTCTGGCAGCCCCCGTCTTCTTCATGTTGTCTTTATGTTTCCTGTAGGCGGCCAAAATAGTTTTGTACCTGCCCTCAACTTGTGTTGTTGTGAAGGAGGAGTTGGTGGATTTGTTTATAATGTTTTTTAATTTCCTCCCATAGTCCATTGTTTTTAACAGAGGAACTGTTGAACCCATCAAGACTGTCCCTGTACAGGTGTAATAATGTCCTGCTCTTACTGTCTGTCCATGTTAATTTATTATTAGTGCTGCTGCCAGCTGTATCACTTGTACTTGTACTTGCACTTTCTACTGTAATACTTGCACTTGCTGGGGTATCTGAAAGAAAATGTACTTAACAATAAAATTTAATAACAATAAAAATATATTCCAAAAGAGAGTAAATAAAAACATTAGTCCTGTGATTCATAATACTTAAAAAGGTTCATATTGTGATCGTTTTTTATTACATACAGCACAGTAAATAAAAAATGAACATACTAGTATCCAATAATAATTAAAAATTTAAAAATCCACGATATGAACCTTAATACCGTCTTATATTATGGGACTAGTAAAACATCCGATACATCTTAACATATATTAACGTCAATAAATTACTAGACTCTAATTTTATATAAAAATCTTTCTATGCGTGTTTTTTGGAGAACCCGATTTCACCACGCATTGTTACAAAAACGAAACGACTCTTAACCTTAGAACTTCTAAAATGCGTTCGAAGGATAACTGTAACCTGATTAACACTGTAACACAAACCTGTACACGCATTTGCCATGAAAACTTCTCTAGTAAAACTCAATACCCCACATGTCGCACATATAAACATGGTCGCCGCCATCTTGGAATAGAAATCTTCCCGCTCCGAGACGGCAGAGGTAGAAGACCCTCCAGAAGCAAAAAAGCTACAAATCGAGTGACCGGAAGTTATATTCTAGAAGTAGAAGAGTGCAAATCGAGTTGGCCTCGGGAAGCGCAGCTAGCAGTGTTAGCAAACGAAAATGCTTTTCTGAAGAAATAATTTTCACTAAGGACGAAATGTGAACAACTACAACAAGTATGTATCATCAGGAAGCTAGTATATAGTGTTTTGATTGAACTGAAAACAGTGTTTTTATCATTCTGTTTTTCAAGTTACCTGTTTCGACGAATCGCCTCTTCAGCAGGTTGGTTTTATTACTGAAATGGGTAATAAAGTGAAATAAATACACAAAGTTCTTAAACACATTATGAACAAAAAAGGGCGTTAATCAAATAAAAAATACAATGAGGTACTGTAACAATTGTCAAATGTAAATGTATGAAAATGACAAATTGTATCACCTCCATTGCTTATAGTGTGTTGTACAGAAGCTATAAATAGCACACATAAAAAAGCATGCTCACCTGTCACATTAGACTGGCCACCGGCTCTAGAATATTGAATTATTAAGAAAAAAGTTTTAACTCAAAAAATGCTGATCATTTGGATGTCTGATCCTTAAAGTTCTAAACTAGGGCAGTAGGGGGAGATAAGATTGTAGTAAAATGTACTTCATTGTGTTATTTATTTGATTTAGTTTACAGAATGACACCCTTTTTGCTCCAAGTGTTTAAAAGAACTTTGCGTGTTTTTATTTCACTTAATTCCCCATTTCAGTTATAAAATTGTTACTGAAATTGGTAACTGGTAACTGTTACCCGAAAGCAGCATTATTACCCATATGCGCTGTTGTGCCCAACCTGTTCATGTGCAGCAGGATTCTTCCTTGAACTTCTGATATCTAACAACTTCAGCGCAAAAATATTGACACCAATTGATATAAAATAGTACTTTGCATGAGATAATGAAATGTTTTTGAACTGATTTAAATATATTTTTAAACGGGCTGTGCGGACTCCCTCGACTTTCCGAGATGGTCTGGAAAAACCTTTCAGCCGCGCAAGCACATGCGCACAGCATAAGAGCACTGCAAATAGAATTGATCCTTTCCATTTCAGATATGAGAAATGGATGCGTATATAAAGTAGTGTTGTATGTACTGACTAAAACAAGACACCTGCAGTCTTAGAACTTGGAATTTATACTCCCATCGACTGACATGCATTGAGGATATTTATAATGTACATTAAATTAGATTTCTTAAATATGATAAAGCTTAAATTCCAAATGATATTTTCATTGGCCTGTTTTACATATATATAACCAAAGAGCAAAAATATTATGCACAGCTAGACTGGGATTGAAACCGGGACGCTCCGAACTGTCTCCTTTTCTGAATTTTCGCCCCAGCGATAACACTATTGACAACTCATGTTTGGGTATCCCCAATTACCTAGCTTTCTTGATCACCTTGTACTCTAAAAATACATGTCCAGGCTAGGATTCAAACCTGGGACCTCCAAACTCCAGAGAGACACTCTACCAATTGGGCTACCTGGTCGCTGACAATAGCCCCAGTCCAATTTTGCCTCACTGTCTTAATTTTTTAGTGATTGATAATTCTAACAGGAAAAATATTTGTAGCAAGACCAAAGCAAAAATTTGGTATGTTTCAGCCTAAGGTTATCATGATCTTGACTCACTGAAAAAAATGGGTATTTAGGTTGACACTTGTTTTAATTTTGGTATACACGTATTGGTGTTCTCCGATTATCAAAACTGTTCATTGCATAAGAATAAACAATTCAATGCATACTTTAGTTGTAATTTGGTGAAAATGACAGTTTCCAATCAAGACAACATTTAGGTTTTAATGGTCAAATAGCTAGGTACAAAAATATTCCCGTAATAATCATGTTTAAAACAGCAGGCAGACCAAGCGATACTTGCATCTGTACCCAGGGCAGCGAAAGTCATGAGTATGGAAATATTTCGCATTAATGAAGAAGGTCAAAGAACGCAAAGATGTCTGAAGGACTACAATCATTTTCAGAGTTATATCTTGTCAGATATTAATTAAAACTGTTAAATATGTTTTGAATATAGCGATTAACTCTTGAATTAAAAGTGGGGGATGATCATGATATGCAGGAAATCTAACAGAAGAACATTTGGTTGCAAGTTCACATTATGCATTAGTTAGGAAGAAACAAGATCTAAACTATTCATTTTATTTTGCAGGCAAATGAAAAAGGTGTGAACAGAATTCAGCATGTGAAGAAGCTCATTAAAAGATGGAAGAGAGAACGAAGGTATAAAATCACATCTGATATTACATAATCTAAAAATAAACAGCATCTGTGATAACCCTAAGTGTGAAACAATAACTTATTAGCTCACCTGGCACGAAGTGCCAAGTGAGGTTATGCTGTGGCGCGGCGTCCATCCAGCGTCAATATTTTACTTTAAACGACTTCTTCTTAATAACCGAAAGGCCTAGGGTGTCGATATTTGGCCAGAAGCAAACTGAGATGAAGGGCTACAAAGCTTGTAAAAATTAATGACCTTCACCCATATTCAAGGTCACAGGGGTCAAATATGTTAAAAACTTTAAACAACTTCTCGACAACCAAACTGCCCAGGGAGAAGATATTTGGCCAGTAGCATGATGAGATGAAGTTCTATAAAGTTTGTTCAAATGAATGACCTTCACCCATATTCAAGGTCACAGGGGTCAAATTTGTTTGAAAACTTTAAACCACTTTTTCTCACTAACCAAAATGCACAGGGTGATGATATTTGGCCAGTAGCATGCTTGGGTGAAGGGCTACCAAGTTTGTTCAAATGAATGACCTTCAATTATATTCAAGGTTACAGGGGTCAATTGTTTAAAAAAAACCTTTAAACAACTTCTTCTCAATAACCAAAATGCCCAGGGTGATGATATTTGGCCAGTAGCATGCTGAGATGAAGGGCTACAAAGTTTTTCAAATGAATGACCTTCACCCATATGCAAGGTCACAGGGGTCAAATATGTTAAAAACTTTAGCCCTTTTAACACTGTAGACCATAATGGACTCATCCATATCAATGCATGGTAGAGTCTACTAAAGTTACATAGGGGTGAAAGGGTTAAACAACCTCTTCTGAATAATTAAAATACCCAGGGTGATGATATTTAGTCAGTAGCATGCTGGGATCAAGGACTACTATATATGTTTGTTAAAGTGAATGACTTTGAAGGTTACAAGTGTGAGATTTATACCAGGTGAGCGATGCAGGCCCATTGGGCCTTTTGTTGTTAAAAATACATTTAGAAGGGAATTGTTTCCATAAAAGGGCCAATAATGAACCATATTACCTCGTAATAATTATTTATTTTGTAGCCTTGGTAATTACACCTATTGGCAGTGTAAGTTTAGAACTGAGGATTTCCACACCATAAACAATGGGTCTATGAGAAACAGATTTCTCACTTACTTACTAAAGATTTCTTCTCTTCTGAGGCACAGTAAAACTTCAATATCTGTTGACAATTTTAAATTAACAACCATGGTTGAGATAAATATGATAGCTTGATCCCCGAGTCTGTTTTAGTGTGATGATACCTAGCTATAGTAACACATGAATTTTGTGCCAATTCGCACCACCAATTTGCCATTACACAAGCATTCGGTCATTACTCATTTAGATGTATATAATAACACAAATACGCCTGGAACATCGAGCTATCACAAATGATATTCTCTTCTCCCCTTCTCAATGACTTTACCTGATTATTGTGTATTCACATTATCTATAGCTTTTTATTGGTCCCTTGGATCCACATCCTGATCGGTGAACTCTGTTAACAATGATTGGTTATGAGAAATTATATTAACCCTTGCCATTTATCACACAGTTTAGTTTGAATCCAATTGCAAGATTATCCGTTATAGCTGATTATTATATAAATTAGCTTATCATAAGTAATTTGTCAATGCTTGAGGTACATTAAATATTGTACAACACAGAGTGTGTGATGTGTACTCTTATGATTGACATTGTTGTTTTAGATATCTGGCCAGTAAGTTAGACGAGTACGGTGATTCTTATCAGGAGTCACAAGTGCCCCTCATGTGGGAGGTTAGTTAATAGAAATTAAAACTTGTCATTGTAAAAGTTCATTGAGCAAGCTTTCACCTTATGTTTGTGATTGTTTTTACACCAACTTCTCTGTACAAAGGTATGTCATCGACTCGGCTTAAAAGTAAGTTTGTTATTGATATTTTTAATATTATTGCAAACATTGTACTTGAGGACTATTATATTTTTGGATAACATATTCTTTCAGAACTTTGATAAAAAATTCATATAAGAAGGATTTCCTCGTTACATAAACAATTGCAGATTTGTTAAAAAGCATTTACATGTTAACAAACAAATTTATTTTCTAGGAGGATCAGATCTTTAAAAGGATACGACCAACAAAGAATGGAGGGGAGCTTATTCCAGATACCCAGCCACCAAAGATCAAACAGGAGCGTCCAGTGGCAGACATTTTATCTTCAATAAATCCAATCTTGGCTGCCCATGGAATGGCGGAAGTTGGATCCCATGGTAGTCCGACAGCTACATCTTCTGGAAAATCCAGAAATCGTTGAGTTCTGGGACGTTCTACTGACTGGAGAACTCACACAAACACAAACACGTGTTACAGGCAATACTAGCAGGTAGCCATCTTTATTACACGAGAGAGTATTATGGGATAGAGGTTACATGATATTACAGAATCGGTGTATATAAAATACAGACTAGTATATTTATACGAAACGCATAACTATCATCAACACAAGAAGGCAAAGTCTGACAAGGAGAAGGATCCCAGCGATCCAAAAAAAACTGCCAATGCCTTTCTCTTGTTCTGTCAGCAACAGAGGACGACTGTTCAGGAGGCTTACTTCAAGGTTAATCCCAATGTATATAGCTATCATTTTAACACAATCACTGTGGCTTAATGTCACTAGATATTAATCACAAATTTTAATATCTTGACATGTATTGTTTAAATCATTGCTGGAGAATATCTAACAGAAATTTAATTCAATAATTCAATGTTTTTACAGTCAAACACATTTTAATGCCATAGGTGTGGCTAATATTTTTAAATCGAAGTAATTATGACCGAGCGTAAGCTGCTCAATAAGAACGATATTTACCGTAGCACTGCGTGTAATATGTATCAAATAATTAAAGAATACATGATAGACTTGTGAATCTTAAGAAACTTCGAGGTAGGAGATATTTTCATGTAGGATTTATGTTGTTGGGACCGATGTTTCACTTCGGTATATCCGAGTTTTTCGAGTTTTCAGAGTTCGAATTATCAGAGTTTTTATTACTAAGATTAAGAAGAGTTTTGGCTGGGACCGATGAAATACTTCGAGTTAAACGGGGTCTTCAAGTTATACGAGTTCGAGAAAACGAGGTTCGACTGTATATCATGGACAATGAATCATTCATGCATGAAGTTAATCACAAATTAAGATAGCTTTTAAACAATTGTTGATTCATTTGGATAGTTAAATATGAATTGGAATATCTTACCAAACTTCAACCATTGAAGGCTGGAGATATATAGAGTTAATCACAAATTTGAATATCTCTACGAATCATTAATCTTTCTAGCACAAAGTCAGTAACAAAATACTTCACAAGTAATTGGGTTACGCCGATAATTATTTACACAAAGATCTCAAGAATAATTATTTATTATGTATAATTAATGCAGAAGGCTGATTACAAAGAAATTATCATGAATATTTGAATTTCAGACAAACTGAGCAAAATTATTGTGATAATAATATCTTTTTTTTTTCTCTCCAAACTTTTAGTGATGATAATTGTGGAAATTAAGTATGAATGACACCAAGTGATTCACACTCAACATTCTTTTACAGTGTATTTGTTATAGCAAGGTAAATGTGAGACTTTGGTGTTGGTCACTTGATCAAGCTTGTTCACATAATGGAATTGTTTTATGTCTGCAAAAAGAGATCTCAAACCATGAGCTGACTAAAAGATTGGCTCACCTGTGGAACAGTCTAAATCCAGAACAAAAAGGGTGAGTTGAGGATGTAGCAAAACTTGTACACATTTTCATATTAAGGATCCATGTCCCACTGCACTATGGTTTGTCCTATATACAGTAACCTCCCCTTATCTTTCATTTGAAAATAATGACTGTAGAACAATTTGAAGTCTAGGGTGTGAATCCCTTTCTGGCCCCACTGCATTTTTGCACTCGGAACACTGTTGTTAATTTACATTTCAACATTTGTTTATCTATTATGTCTCATGAAAGTCCTGCAAGGTATGTTTTTCTTTTCAGAAATGATTTATCAAAGCTATAGTCATACCAGAAAAATACCAGTTTCCAATATGTGTACTTACTTACAGTTTACACAGTGGTTAACTCTATAGGATTGACAAATCAAAAAGATTGGATAACTTGCAAAGATCAACATATTGATGTATTATCTTTAGCTGCTTGTATCATCTAAGCTGGTGGGCTACATTATCTTATTAGAATTATATAATAAATCTGCGTTATAGCAAAAAGTTTAATAAATAATTGAGACAAACATGCTGAAAATGTGTGTCAATAAGGCACTATCTTGAAACTGTGTGATTACTACTAGATATAGAGCATGTGTAACATCTCACTATATTACCAGAATTTGTTCAGCAATGGTTTCACAATATACTGATAGATCTATGTATAAAGGAATTGGTGAGAAAAAGGAAGAAAGGGAAGATTAAGGTACAACGTTGACCTATGACGCAAGAACCATTATTTTGAGGTTTTACTGTACAGTGATATAATTATAAACCGAAATATTTTCACACCCAAGTTGTTGCCTTCTGGACATTCATAGCACATCTGTATAGTCATTTTGTTGTGTCACTTGTTTCAGTTATTATTCTAAAAATGAAAAACAGAACACCAAAATATAATTATAATTCCCCAAATGTTATAGACTATAGTGTCTACTTAACATAAGGCCTAAATTGTAGGTGATGAAAGTTATTGGTATTTGTTCTGGGTTACAGGTGTTTTATGATTTGTACGAGCAGGAGAAGGAAAGATATGACCGAGAAGTAATGGAATACCATGAGCGAGAGGGCAGTGCCACAGCTGAGAAAACTGCAAGTGAGGCGAGTGCTGTTGCCATGGCTACTTAGGCTCATAGTGCTGTCAACGCAATCATCATGGACACATAGAATCTCATATTTGCAATATTATTGAAACTGCACCTGTTTGCATGCCGTCTTAAATGGTATATCAACATTAGTTTTTGCTTTACCTTGCAGAAGAAATTGTGCAATATCAGTACAAGTTTGTAGATGGTTTATCCATTTTGAATAATAAAATTCAACTTAACTTATAGCAGCAATACTGACATGTATTATACCAGCAGCAGATATCACTAGATTTTTTTCTGTAAAACACCCTTCAACAGTAATGCAACCACAAAATACTTGTTTGGTTATATATGTAAGAGACACCAACGTATTCTATTTTCCTAGACTTACAATAAGTCTGGACCTACTGCCACACTTTGTAACATATATTTTGCAGACAATAAGTCTGGGCCTACTGCCACACTTTGTAACATATACTTTGCAGACAAGAATGCTATGGTCCTCCAAGTATACCTACAAACCAAGCATTTGAATTTCAAATTGAAAATAAAATGATGATACATATTTTTGATTATAAGTATGTAGTATAGTAGATGGGCGGGGACTTACAAGGTTGGTCATGTGTTCACATTTTTTTTCTTAATTGATGGACAACATGTTAATCATGTCAACTCTTTGTAACACATATTCTGATTGGCTAAAAAAAATAAGCCCATTACCTAGTTGACTGATCGGTAGGTCCATCTGAGGAATCTTGAATTAAGCAGGAAATCTTCCTGATTCCTACACATGTTGTTGGGTCTATCAACCTGACACCTGACCACTCTGATAACTCTACATTAATGTACATGGATGTTTTCTTCCTGTGTTTGATATGACACAACTTGCTGGCTGATTAACCTCAACTTTATTGATGCAATGTATTATATTAATAAGTAACTAATATTTTCATTAGCATCAGCTTGTGACATGCAACGTCAAAAATCTGAAAGACACTTGTGTGTAACAGATACCAGAGCATTTTATTCCTGGTTTGCTGTATTCAGTAAAATATACTTTACAGACAAAGAAAACTGTTTTTAAAAGACATTCCTGATTCTTGAGCTGTAAAGATGTATTTCTGTAAGACACTTGAATTAAAAAAAAAAGAAAAAATCTTGTTAATTAACAATCTCAATACAGATATCTTGCAAAATATTTTTTCATGCAAAACGACTGATATTGGACATGTACGCACCAAACAATTAAGAAACACGCAGAAGACGCTTCTAACATTTCTAAGATTTTAAAACTACGGTTATTAACTCGTTTGGTATAAAGATGTAAATATGATTAAACATTGCTCACTTGTGGTTTTAAACAGCAACACATTTTCGTGAGTTCATCAAGTGTAAATTCGACCTCTGTCCAGCGATTTCAAGTCACGTGATGCAACAACCAAATTATAACCGACTGCGTATTATCGAATGAATACCGTGGTCATGACAACGGATGACGAGTCCAATTTTTCTATGGAAGAATTGAGCAATTTGACAAATTTTCGAATATAATCAACGCTGTCATGGAGACTCAAAGGAAAAGGTTAAAATGCTCAGCAAAAGCACGGAGTTAGATCTAAGTCCGTGGCAAACCTGAAACCTGAATATGGAATAAACAAGGAATATTGCGTTCTCGAACTTGATATATCAGTAAGACTTGTCCGATGACCCGTCCGAGAATTAAAAAGAAAACAGTTACATTGTTATGTATTTTACATAGGATGGAAGTCATGTTACACTATAAAACGGACTTTTCAGATTCAAAGCTAGCACTAATGTGATAATGGACATAAGACTTGTCTGTTATTATAATTAGGGTGTTAGATAGAAACTTATTGCAAAGCCAGACAGAAACCATACCATTTCAATTATAATGATATTCAATATACAGTCATCTGCATTATATGTAAAGCAAATAATATCAAACTTTTACTTTTTACACAAATAATGTATGTATTAAACGTGTCACAACGTTTCAAGACCGACTGGTCACGTTGTCAGGAAATGAATACCAATGCGTAAATTGTTTGTGTATCTCCAAACTGATAATATTTCCAGACTGATATATCGTATTGAATGGAAAACTAATACTTTATTCCAGATTTTACCAAGGTAAAAAAATGTATGATATAATGTTGCACAAAAAGCTGAACAAATGGTGGAAATAGGCATATAAAACATCAACCGGAAAGTGTGTGATTTAGGAAGACTCGTTCTAGCTTGGTTGGTCAATTCTAACACTCTATATAACTGATATGAAATGGTTAATCTGAAGTGACTTGAACAGACAAAAAGAAAACACAGATGAGTACATAATGTCTTCAGGACTCTTTATTGTTCTACTGGTACATTCCGTGACTCTGCCTATACACGTACTTGATATATACTGTGAGCGTGTCAACCTCCTACACCCGACAACTGCACACCTTTTCTGAAAACTAAAACAGCATCATGGTTAATTCCGTAAGAATTGCTGTATTTTCAAAAATAACAAG